CCGCACTTCCCTACCTTCACACCTATTGATTCTGGAACATCCCCCTCCTCTCTCCCTGCCCCAGTCCAGCCTGGCCAATAACCTCACCTCCTCCAGGAAGCACCCCCAGCTATCATCAAGAGATTCCCTGTTGGAAACTCTTTAAACTGCAAACTCCATGGTTCAACCACGCAACCTGGAAGGCAGGTACCCCTGCCTGGATGTTTTTATTCATTCCCGGTTTTCCAGGCTGTAAGCGACACCTTCCTACCCCAGTGAGCATGCACACACACGCACCCCTAAAGCTGGTTTCACGCCACAATACTTTTCCTTACTACGTAAAATGGCATGTTGCTTCTCAATGTTAGTTTTTCACGGTACTCTTGACCCACCCTGTTGATCGCAATGCACTACTGGGTCTTGGGCTGCAGTCTGGAAAATGTGCTGCAGCTGAGCCTCCGCCCACTCGTTTACATTCGCTCCCTCGGTCATTCAGGGACTGAATACCCGCCGAGCTGCAGGCACAGTGGAGTTACTTACACCCGCCCGCAAAAACAGGAGAGCGAGAACAGGCACCACACAGCTGCTCTCTGCTCATTTCCCAGCACAGGGCGAGGGACCGCGTGCAGTCCTGTTTTATTCTATGTCTGAGGCCCAGCCCCTCTGAGCGGCAGCCACACCCCTCGAGCTGCCACTGCCCCTCTGCCATGGCAACCCCACCCCCCAGCGGCACCCCACAAGTGCAGCATCTGGGCAGCATTTGGGTGGGGTCTCCCATGCACCCCTCAGTCTCAGGCTGGACCTCGATAACCCCGGTCTCTTGCTTCCTGCCACTGTCCTTGGGCAGCTCCTGCTGGACAGTGGGCTTCCTGAGAGACTCGACCGCTGACCCTGGCCTGAGTGGCTGGGGTTGGGTCCCTCAGCCACAGGCCTCAACCCTGACCATCTGTTTTGTCCTGACCAGTGGAACGGGCTTCCCAAAATGGGACTCTGTTTGCGAAACTGCAGATGGAAACATTTTTAAAATCCATGACCTTGATGTGGTCTTCAGGTGACAATGCACTTCCATATATGCCAGTAACAACGACGGTGACAACGGTCAACGACCCCTTATGCAAACCTCCCAGGGCTAGATAGATTTTGAAATTCAGAATCTTTTGGGGTTTGGAAAGGTGACACAATGCCTAAAGCATTATGTAACACGTAACGGGATCTGGGGCAGCCCCTTAATTACACACACTCACATTTCTGCAGCAAGAAGAGTGACTATAAGTAGCCTCGTGTCACTGTACGTCCGGTTTTATTACCAGATACGTTCAGGTCAGACCAGATTTTGCTATCAAACGGACTTTTGATCTTCAGAGTTTTGTGCATTTTGTAATTGGGGATGAGAAATTGTGGATGTGGGAAGATAACAGCCATTTATGGCACACTTATCAGATGTCAGACTTGGAGCTAAGTGCTTTCTGTGCATTTGCTCATCTGACCCTTACAACCACCCCACGAGGAAGACACCGGGTGCCCAGTTTGCAGACGAGAAAACAGGCTCAGGCGGTCAAGGCATCCATTCAGCGTCACACTGTAAACCCAGGTCTGTCTGACCAAAGCTGCGGCCGCCACCACCCTGAACCCTCGTAAAGCTGAGACCAAACTCACTTGACAAAGAAACAGAATGGGGAGACCAGAGGGGAGGGGACTTCAAGGCCCATGCCCTTGCCTGGCCCTGGAAATGGGCAACACTCACCTTGGCCCATCTGGAGTACCCACGCACTGGGCTCCGTGCTGACACGGGTTCAAATCTGGAGAACAGAAGTCCACCAGCTGCTCACAGGCCCTTCCTGGGGAAAGAACGAGGAAGAGGCAGGAGAGAAGCTGCCCCAATCTCTGCCAGGCAGCTGGCCTGGCCGAAACCTCCTGTAGACACTGAGGGAGGGCCCCAGCCCTCCTGCCCACAGGAACGGGGCTCAGGGCAGGCACACCTGCCCACCTCTCCCCACAGATGCCAAAACTCCACCACACTTACCCACATACTGCAGGGGGCACTGGCAGGTGTAGTTGCCCACGCCATCCACACAGGTGCCCCCATTGGCACATGTGTGCTCCACACAGTCGTCCGTATTCACCTCACAGGTCGGTCCTTCAAAGCCAGTGGGACAGGAACACCTGAGGTTGGGGGGGGGGCAGGTGAGGAGAGACGGACAGGTGGGCAGGGCCAGGGCAGCAGCCTTCCTGAGGCACTGTGGAAGCCTGTGTCCACCTGTGACCATCATCATCCCAGAGCTTTGGTCCCCACTCCCGGCCAGGTCCGTGCTAGGCACTGGGGTTAGAGTAAACAAGACAGTCCTGCACTCTGGGGGCTCCCTCAGTCTAGCCGGGGAGACGACAAGGAGACCGGCAACCAGAGGAGAGGCCAGGATGGGGCCACACTGAGGCCGGGGAGATGAGGACAAAGAGGCAGAGGACACCTAGCCCATATGTCAGGGATGAGGTGAGAACAGGGCTGGGGGATAAACAGGAATCAGCTCATGGAGGGTCCCGGAGACCAGTGATCTTCCAGCTGGGGGAGCACCTGCGGTTTGCCAAGAGATCTGTGGGTCAGAGATGTCTGAGAAATTGATTTCCAGATCTTCAAGTCCTGCACAAACACTTCCCTAAACAGACCTAACCAGAGCTTCAGAAAGGCACGTGCACTTCTCCCAACTGCAGTCCAAGGTGGGGACATGCCTGGAGCCTAAAACCCTCAGGCACCAGATAAAGGGACAACTAAGAATTGACCGAGCATTAAAATAATTTCTGGGGGCACCTGGGTGGCTCAGTCGGCGTCCGACTCTTCAGCCGAGGTCATGATCTCACAGTTAGCGGGTTCATACAAAGACCCGTGTCAGGCTTTGTACTGACAGAATGGAGACTGCTTGGGATTCCCGCTCTCTCCTCTCTGCCCCTAACCCCCCTCAAAATAAATAAACTTTAAACAAAATTAAAAAATAAAAATAATTTTTGATGACAGATCACTCTGGGGTTTTTGGTATATAATCTTGGAAGGGTTTCAAATAATTGAATGGCATGCTACAATAAAACGTCTAATCCCAATGATTTATTTCAACAACTCTTTCTCAGCATTTATAGCTATATACGTATATTTTTATAAAGGAATATATTGGATGCTGAGTCCTCATTCTGTCATATTCACCCTGGGACACATGAATCAGAAAATTACACACAAAAAGCTCCACCTGTTATCTGTAATAATTATCAATAAAATTTTGTAGCGGAGTTATGTTCTGATCAATTGTATATCATTGATTATTGTAATGACGACTCTGAAAAAGAAACCGTTCATCAGAAGTTTATGGTGACAAGAAATAAAAAAAAAAACTTTAAACTTACATTCCCATGTTGGTGGCAAAGAAGTATGGCAGCGTGCTCAATAAACAGACTCTCTAGCATCACAACAGATCACATGCGAACAAAAATGGAGGCGGGGTTGGGGAGTAAAATGGAAATACTAGTTGGAGGAGAAAGAGAGGGAAGATGTTTAAGCAGTTAAAACAGGAGCTTGTGGGTGTAATCTTTAAGTGTATCAAATTGCTGCGCTATTCAGATTCCACTGGCAAGCGATGAGAGTGAAGTAAAAAGTGAGGTCTTTCAATGTTAATATTTACAATATCCTGGAAATTAACCTCCCTTGCAATGCAAAGTTCAACTTACCACGAAAAATTCCAGCCGTCCGTGTAAGAGCGTGTGAGAGGGGATGGAATTAAGTTTCGTGGGGGCACGTGAGCAAAAAGGTTTGAAGCGCACTGTTTCGGGGCCTACTGTCATCTGTAGGGCTCCCACCCCCACCTAGCGGGAAGCGTCTGAGGGGGCTCCCCTAGCTCCCCACAGAACCCTGCCCCTGGAGTCTATCAATGAGGAGGGGGTTGGACAGAGCCTATTGTATGGACGCCGTTTCCAAGGTGACGACCTGGGAGAGGCTGTTTAGTGTTTTATTTTTCACATCTGGTGATTTAGGTCTGCAGAGACAGGTTTGGCCATTCCTGCTAAGTAGACTCATCATTTTCTGAAGAGGAAATTTGTTCGGCCGGCAGTTTATTTTCAGTAACTAAATACTGTGTGTTCCTCTGAAAAGCTCTGGGTCCAGGAGGGCTCTGGGAAGGTGGGGGGCTCGTGGAGGGGTCCTGGGGGAAAGCAGACTGGGTGGGGGCTTGTGTGGTGAGCTCAGAGAAGAGTCAGGAGGCCCGGCCGCCCAGGTGTGACCTGTATGACCCAGGAGACCATAGCAGGAGGCCCGTACTTGCTAGCAGGAGGCGGGACTATCGGAAGGAGACTAGGACTTGCTCCCACCTCAGGTGGGGGGGGTGGGGTGGGTTGCTTGATACCAAGGAGCTGGCTGGGGGCCTGCCGTCAGGCAGCCCTGGCACAGCAAGCAGGTGGTTGACTTCCAACTGGAGGCCTTGGGGTTAGTGGAGATTATAGGGGTTTAAAACACCCCTAAACTGCCCCTTAGCAGTGCCACTGCACATGGCCTTGGCCATGGACTCCCAGTGCCATCAGAAGGCCCTCTGGCACCTGGCACGAACAGGGAGGGGCCTGGAGCAGGGGCGGGCAGTGTAGCTCCGAGCCCCCGCCCTACCTGCTGCTGTCAGCCTGGCAGGCCTGCATCTCTCTGGGCAGCAGGGACCTGTGATGGGTAGGCATGGAGGGGTCTCTAGCACACCCCCACCTCCTCCTCCAACACAGGGAGGCCCGGGCCATCCCACCCACCAGGTTCCAGCCTCTCCAGGCAACTCACGTGAACCCAGCATCCTCGCCCTGCCGCGGGTGGCAGGTCCCGCCGTTTCCACAGGGGCTGCTGGAACAGCTGTCCAGGGACACCTCGCAGTCACGGCCCTGGGCAGGTGGGAGAGGGGGACAGTGAGTGAGGAGGACCTCAGAGGGACCCAGGGATTGGTGTGAGCCGACAGAGACAGCCAGCCCGCTCAGCAGCAGGCCTCCCTGTCCCGAGAGTTACCTGTTCATTCATTCGTTCACTCATTCATTCATTCACGTGCTGGGTCATTGACTAAACATTCCCTCAAGCAGCTGCCCTGGGCACTGTGGGCAAAGTGGCGAACAAGACAGCACAGCCCCACCTGATCTTGAACGAACAGCCCTCCTCCTCCCCAGCCCCAGCTTCCACTCACCTTATAGCCGCTGGAGCAGACACACCTGTACGCCTCAAGGGCATCATTATGGCAAGTGCCCTGGTTCTGGCACGGGCTGGACAAGCAGGGATCACACTTGGCCTGGACAGCCAGCGCGGGGGGACCTGAGGCAGGGGGTAGGTATCAGGGGAGGGTAGGGCCGGACAGCCTCAGAGACAGTGCTGGAAGCTCTCTCCCCAAGGAGATTTCAGCCCTCCCTTTATTTCCTCTGCGTCTGGTTCACGCCCCCTTTCTAAGCCCACCTTCCGGGCCTCCAGACCTTCCTTTGTAAAGTGTGGTTAATAACAGCACCTGCCTTGGGGGCCATATTGGCTAAATAAGCTAATCTGAAAAGTGCTTAACAGGCAGGCTTTGGACGCCCAAGGAGCCCCCACACGGCGTCAGGGCAAAGCCGTCCGCGTGAGGGCATCACAATCACTATCACTGAAGCCGGCTCTCGCTCCCCAGCGTGGTCACGGTGAGCAGAAGACTGAGGGCAGCCGCCTTGGCAAGGAGGGGACACAGCTCCGTGAGAGGCCATGCTTAGGAGCAAAGAGCTCATTTGTCTTTGAGATGTTTCTCTCCAAGGCTGAACAGGAAAGAACCCTCTCCTGTCACCACAGGCAAGGCCTTCCCCAGCCCCTCCAGGACCCACTGGTCCTCTTCCCTGAACTTGGAGGTGGACGAGGAGCCAGCAGCCAGGCTGCTTGGGGCACCACCTGTGAGGGGCATTAGGCCCTCACAAGAATAAATAGAACTAGCTGGTTAACTCAGGTGTCCGCTTAGGACTCCTTCTAGAAAAGGAGAAATACTGGTTCTGCTGAAGAGGTATGAGCATTAAGAGAAACAAACACTTTTCAGTGATGACTGGAAGGAAGCATGAGCAGGTTTCCCGGGCACTGATGGGGTTCTGTGTTTTGATCCCTGGTATGTTCGTTCAGTCTGTGAAAATTCAGCAAGCCATTCACTTATGATCTGTGTATCTTGCTATTATGCATGTTATATTTCAATAAAATAAAAAAAAAAAAAACTTACCAGTGTCAACCCCACCCCATTAAATAAATATTGAGCAAATGTTTCACTCCCAACAGGCAAGCCACAGATCAGGTCCCTCTGAACTGTTACCCCTGTGACAACATCCTTCATGGAAGGTGGCCATTAACCTATGGCTGTCAGTTTCATTTTTTAAAAAAAATTTTTAAACATTTATTCATTTTTTTAAGAGATGGAGAGAGACCAAGCGCAAGAGACAGGGGGAGACACAGATCCGAAGTAGGCTCCAGGTTCTGAGATGTCAGCACAGAGCCCGAGGGGCTTGAACTCACGAACCGTGAGACCATGACCTGAGCGCAGTCGGATGTTTAACCGACTGAGCCACCCAGGCGCCCCATGTCAGTTTCATTTTTGATGGAGGTCTGTGAGCTTGCAGAGGGCAGGGGCTGCACCCCCCAGGCGGCCCCCAGCACACAAAGCTGGGCTTGGGGCAGGCCTCAGCCGCCTCCCTTGGCTCAGCTGGGCTCCCGGGCTGTCAGTCAATCAGTCAATCAACCTCCGAATGAGTATTTACAGATGCCCTAAGTGAGGCAGCTTCAGAGCAAAGCGTGAGCGAGTCTCCAATCACACTCAAGTCCCTGTATTTCTGCAAATGTCAGGCGAGCGGCAGCTGGGTCCAGCGGCTCGGGGTTTAAGCTAATTGCCGCGCACAATTCCTACCATAGAGAGGCCCGAGCACTCCCGCTGCTGAGAGGCTTGGAGCTTCCAGAAACGCTGCTGCTATTTTTATTTTCCTTACATAACCCCAGGGAGGGATTAAGGCCCTTACAGCCTGAGATTTTCTGCCTGGCTTTTTTTTGTTCGTTGTACGTCAGGACTAGAAGGCGGCCATACTAACAAGCAGCAGGTGCCTCGTTCCTGCCACCTGACCACCCCCCATCCAGCAGGTCACCACAGGGACACAGGAGCTCCTGGAATGCCCTTCCAGGATTAGGCAGGTCTCATGGGCTCCCAGCAGCAGGTGGGCGGGATGCAACCCTGTACCCGCCACCCCATTCTCGTGCTCCTGGCCTCACCTTGGCATTCAAACTTCTTGGCAGGCGTGGTGAGGAGCAGCTTGCCCTCCATGTCCGGGGGCCCAGCACAGCGGGCAATGCCCGGTTCCTTATAGCCCGTCTTCACCCAGCCAGACAGCCAGCGGAGGTGGCAGTCACAGTACAGAGGGTTGGCACCAATGGCCCTGAGTCAGAGAGCAGAGAGAAGCAGGCATCTATAATGGGCTCCTTCACCCACCGGGCGCACTCAGCCAGGGGCTGGCAAAAATCCCAACAGCCCCCTTACATGAGCCTTTCCTGTGTAGCCAGTGCTGCTCTAAGCACTTCCTGCGTGTTGGCTTCCGAGTCCTCCCACACCCCACTCTCCCCACTGCGCACATTGCACCAGTCTCAGAAAGGCTGAGGCACAAAGCGGGGAGGTGAGACTTGAACTGGTGCCGTTGGGGCCAGAGGCCATCAGTGTGTCGTCTCCAGAGAGCACGGAGGGGAAGGAGTCACCAGTTACCGCTGGGATGAACCAGCTGCTTTCCCACAGCCAAGCATCTGACATCCTCACGAGCCCCACGGGGTAAGCTCTCTCCTCCACCTCAAACAGGGGGAACTGAGCCTCACGGGGGATAAGTCATTTCCCTGGGGTCACACAATGAATGAAGGGCAGGCTCTGGATCCAGGGTCTGGATCTGACTCTGAAGCCCATACTGTTATTCTTCTTTTCATTTTTAACTAAGCAAGGAGCACACGAACGCATTCTTAGTCTAAACTACTTTGACAAACTGCGCACAGAAGTCTCCACCTCACACGACGTGGTAAACATACTAAATGCCATGAATTTTACACACCAAAATGGTTCATTTGATCTTATGTGAATGTCACCTTCATTTTTTTCAGAAAGGCATGTTCCTGTTACTGATGGGAGAGCAAAATGGTGTAACTCTGACAGAGGGAACCTCGTGATATCTATCAAATCACCCATGCAGTTGCCTTTGGACCTAGCAATTCTGTTCCTGGAAGTTTATCTCACAGATACACCTCTACAGGTGCATAAAGGTGTCTGTGCGGTGGGACTGATCACAGCCTTGTTTGTAACAGCCTGAAATGAACTACACTATACCCACATCACAAAGAAAAGCTGCACCCGGTGCCTCTACCACGTCAGAAGGACCCACGGCCATACGGCCACATGGTCACCGCGCTCAGGCGTGTGGCTTCCCGCTCCTCTCCCATAGCGACGTAGAAGATTCTTCACAAATTATATCCACCTACTGCACATCGTCCCCAGGCAGCTTTTTGTCACCAAGTGACATGTCTTGGAGATCCTTCCAGATCAGCATAAATGGATCCACCTCATTTTGTCCAAGGGCTTCCTGGCATCCCAAAGTAATGGACATCTAGCTTACTGAGCAATGTCCCTGTTGCCAGGCATCCTGGTTGTTTCCAAAGGCAGCGAATACTCTTGTCCATGCTTCTTTGGGAGGTGTGAGCATTGCTCTAGAACAGGTGCCCAGAAGCAGGCTTCTACTTCTAGATCGCGGAGGATATGCATGCTGGGTGTTCACAGGCCCTCCAAAACGAGGTGGCATCGGTTCACACCCGCCTGCGGCATAAGGCCATGCCTGCTCCCTCCCATCCCCGCCCGACACCAACACCACACAGCCAACTCTGTAGCGTTTACCAACCAGCGGACAACTGCAGCATCTCACTGACTCACAGCGGGAGATTTAGAGATGGGTCAGAGACAGGGCAGGGGAGGGTAGGGGGTAGAGTTCCTCGGCCTAGCAAATAGAAAAATCAGAGCCTGGGCCGGAGGTTCGTTTATATCAACGTTATTTTGAAAATATAAGGCCGCGTGACGTTAGCGAGACTGGGCTCATTTATTAAGCACCAAATAGACGCGCTGCCCTCTTCCACCTGTTTCTGGGCAGCAGAGAGGACGTGGACCCCCCCGAAGTGCGTTCGGTCTGATGAAAGCAGCAGCAACCCTGAGCAGGAGTTCCCCAAAATAGCGCCGCTGACGACCTCGCAGTCTTACAAAGCGGCTGAGCGAGACCTGGACTGGGGCCGGCGCAGCTGCTCGCTGCCCGGTGACCTTGAGCAGCCCGCCTCACATCTCCGGGGCTCACTTTACGACGCGCTAAAGAGCCTGCAGCCTGGAGGAGGGCAGAAAGACAAGCACCAATAACCTAAAATGGGCACCAAGGGAATAACGCAGCGTGGAAAAGAAGGCCAGTTCAACCTCAACGTGTGTTTAATTTTTTCTGTCCTGATTTGCTGACAACATCCAGCCCGGCTCACAGGACAGCGGAGACGCCTTCCCTTTGCCACTGAATGGGGCCGGGGCCGCTCAGAGGTACAGGAAGCTGGGGTGCCTTGATTTTCTGACGCTGCAGTGTGTTAACGGCAACAACAACAAAGTCTTTTTTAAAAAGCACAGGAATACCAAAAATTGTGCTCTAAAATGGTTACATGAACCAGAGTAATGGTTTTCACGTAAAAAGTGCAAGGTAATGCGATTATGTTATTCAAGAGGCAAATGTAGAATTTATTGTAAAATATATTTTGTAATGCACCGCAGGGTCGTGGTCTGGTAATGGGCCACGAATTTAAAGTGTATTACGAATGACTTTTTTCAAGTCCTGTAGCTCATTTCGCGGCCGAGGTCACTGTGACCGTGGATGCCTTGACAGGCCAGGATTGCCACAGTTCCAGTCCCCAGAGAGCAGCCCCTCAATAAATGGCAGGAAAAGTGCGCCTCAAATCCAAGTGTCCCTTTCCGATTCTTCACATAAAAGCAGAAATAAAGAATAACAGAAAGCACCAAAGTCAATATAAAGCTCTTCAAAAGTAAATTCCAGTGGGGCCAACGCATTTTCCTTGTTTCTATGGAGAACAGACTCGGAGCCACACCCGAATTCAACCTTTCACACTTTGGTTCACCCAGAGGCTGGGGTTTTGAGACCACTTCAGTGGTTTCACGTGGGGGCCACTTTTCCCACTGGGAGTGACTGCGAGCTCGGTGTGGAGTGGCAAGTCACAGGCCCGGCTGAGTGAGGGCCGCGGTGGGGACCGCAGCCAGGCCGCTCGTCGATCCAAAAGGACTGTGGGTTCAGGCTGACACCCGGGCAAAAGTAGAAATAATCCTGTGGTGTTGATCTTTGGTGTATCTTGGAAATAGCTGAAACAGAAGATACTTGGTGTCTTCCTGCCAAGGCCCCGCTGGGCTTCCATTAACGGAACGGGGACCAAAATAGCTTTTCCTGTGCTGTTTCACAGAGCGGCCAACGGTAGAGTTTAGCACATACTGAAACTTCCACATCTCCCTCACCTGAGCTATACCCCCTCCGCCCACCCTCCTCTCGGGCAATCTATTTGTGTGCATCACTGTCTCCCGCTGCACTGAGGCTCCCCGGGAGCAGGAACCACGACCCCCGCTGTGCCTGACACCCATTTGCGAATGAACACCTGCCAGGACCATGCAGAATGCACAAAGCCCACTGTGAAAGCAAAGGAAATGCAAAAAGAAAAGAGTTCCCCCATCATCCCAGAAATGTAACCAGTTTAATTTTTGTGGATTTCCTTCCAGTTCTTGTGTTCACACGTGTACCTCAGTGAAATCAGAGTATACAGTCTTCTTTATCCTGTGGTGTCATCAAATAGTAAATTGTGATGCCGTAATTACAATTAACTACTTGCTATTCTGTCCTGTGGGCATAGTATGATCTACTTAATCATTCCATATTTACTTTTTAAAGTTATTTATTTTATGTTGAGAGAAAGAGGGCACACTTAGGTACTCAAACAGAGGAGGGGCTGAGAGAGAGAGAGAGAGAGAGAGAGAGAAAGAGAGAGACAGAAAGAATCCCAAGCAGGTTCTGAGCTGTCAGTGCAGAGCCTGACAGGGGGCTCAATCACATGAACTGTGAGATCATAATCAGAGCTGAAATCAAGAGTTGGACACTTAACTGTCTGAGCCACCCGGGTGCCCCACCATATTTACTTTTTCACACAGCATTCTTAGTGAATTCGGGATCTAGCTTCCCAGCACGCAGTAAATCAGAGGCAACAAAATGCCAGATTATAGAAATGACGAAAGATGTTGGAGAACCTTGGCACGGGATCTGGCACACAGTGAATATTTGTTGATGAAGAGACGGATGGATGGATGGATGGATGGATGGATGGATGGATGGGCGGACAAATGGATGAAAATTGAACTAACTGCAAAGTAAATATAAAAGTAAACCACAGCAGAGCGAACCCAGGGCAGTGTGGACGCTTACAATCACTATGGCATATGGACCACAGTGGACCTTAGAAATAACCTTGGTACAGGCAAGAAAGAGGCCCAAAGAGAAGAATGAATTGTCTGGGATCCCACTGCAAGTCGATGGCAGAACAAAGAACCTAACGCCACGCGTCCTGATTCCTGAAGTTCAAGGAGACTGAATGTGGTGGACCTCAGCCTCCACTGCACCTGCTCACCCCGCCTCCCACATACTGCTAGTGAAGAGGAGAGGCCCGGGCAAGAGTCACAGGAGGAACAGAGGGCACTCCAGGAGCCAGGGACTCTGGATGCTAACTCTTGGGCAACCCCTGACTTGTTACAGAGCCGTGGGTGCCTCCCCCTGCTTCAGATTGCACACGGCCCTTGTGAAGCCAAGCGGAATGCGGTGAGCCTGCGCCGTCCTGGTACCACTCCCTGACTCCTTACAAGTGCTCGAGAAATCCTTATGGAACAGCTACGGCTCTCCCGTGCGGGGCAGATGGCGGACACGTGTGTGCACATGTACACGTGTCCTCAGTACTGCGCGTGCACCCACACCTGAACACAAGCACACGCACGAGTCCCAGGCTGCTGCCTAGTTCCATTTGAGACCCTGGGTATGAAGGGCAGACCTTATTCGTGACGCTGCTTCACTGGAAGCTTTCTTTCGCGCAGATGCTGCCCTGTAGAGAGAGGGGCTTGGATGCAGTGAACAAACACATCTAATCCGCAATGCCGACGCCCTGTTCTACAATTGCTGCTTAATGGATCTCTACCTCCTGCTTTATTTCTTCCAGATTGGATCTGGTTTTTTGGCTTGATGTCACTGTTCTCCTAAAGAAAGTCTGAATTTATAGATGCGTCTGGTTCAACAGTTGTTTGGCAGCTCTGGTTTTTTGTTTGTAGAAAACATGCTGTTTGTTCCCACCTCCCCCTTGAAAAACGAGGCCTCTAGATTTTGAGCTAGAGTCAAAATCGGAATGGACTTGGATGTTGTTCAGTTTTCATCAGGAAGAAGGACGGGTAGTCAACTGCACACTTAAGTCCCAAGTACAGGAGATACGTGAAGGGGGAATCCAAAGGCAAGAAAGGTTGACCAGATGCTTGAAGAGGCCTTGCCTGGCAAGTGGTGTTGGGGGCGTGGGCAGCTAAAGCAGGCCCTTGTCATAGTGGGGGGGGGGGGGGGGGGTGAGGAAAGGCGGTGCGTGGGCCCAGAGCAGGGCAGACCCTGGTGCCTGTGAAGACAAGCACAAATGCCCTCTGGAGAGAAGTGTCTCTAATTTAGGTCCCCAGAGTTCCAAACATCCGCAAAATCTGAGCTCACCACCACTAACTACCAAACGCAGATGGAAACACGGCCCTGTTGACCAGGAGTCACCGAGAGCAGTGATCCACACAGCCCCGGCCTGGCCTTTGTCTTGACCCACCATCTCCAGCCAGGCTCCCTCCTGCCTCATCCCATGCAGCCAGCCTCCACATGTCACCACAGCTTTCCAGGAGTTTTCTGCGACTTAATTCTTCCACAATTCCCTTCTATCTGTAAAATAACTCTTTAGCGTGACACAAAAGGCCCTTCACAATGGAATTCAATGTTCCATTCCAGATTCGTCTCTTCCGACCCCACACTCCTTGCCCAACCAAACCCTGTATGTCCTATGCTGGACAACACAGCATCCCTGAATATGTCATTTACTTTCTTGCCTTCTCGCCTCTGCCCATGCTGTTCCCTCCTCCTAGAAAGTCTTTCCCCATCTTCTCCAAATGGCAAAAGTGTGCAGTTCAGTAGCATCAATGAACACTCACAATGTTGTGCAACCATCACCACGATCTGGCTCTAAAACTCTTCATCACCCCAAACAGAAACTCTGTACCCACTGAACAAAAATCCCCCATTTCCCCCCTGCTCCCAGCACCTGTCAGCCACCATTCGCCTTTCTGTAGCTTTGATTTGACTTTCCTAGGCCTCGTATCGGTGGAATCATACGATGTTTGTCCTGTAACGTCTGGGTTATTTCACTTGGCATGTTTGCAAGGTTCATCCATGTTTGTCGCAGGTGACAGAGTTTCATTTCTTTTTAAGGCTGAATAAGATACCATTGTATGGGGGCGCCCGGGTGGCTCAGTTTGTTAAGTGTCTGACTCCAGCTCAGGTCATGATCTCACGGTTCATGAATTTGAGCCCCGCATCAGGCTCCCTGCTGTCAGCACAGAGCCTGCTTCCGATCCTCTGTCCCCCTCTCTTCCTGCCCTTATCCTGCTCGTTCTCTCTCTTCCAAAATAAACTTTAAAATTAAAAAAAAAAAAAGATCCCATTGTATGTCTATATCACATTATCCACTCATCCATCAATGGACACTTGAGTGCTTTCTGATTTTTGCCTATTGCGTGAATAATGCCGCTATGAACATGGGCCGTACAAGTATCTGTTTTCAGATTTATTTGTGTGTTTGTTTAGAGCATTAATGAGGGAGGGGGTAGCAGGAGAGGGAGAGAGACATGGGCTCAGTCTCATGACTGTGACATCATGACCTGAGCCGAAATCAAGAGTCAGACACTTAACCGACTGAGCCACCCAGGAGCCCCACGTATCTGTTTTGAGAATCTGCTTTCAACTATTTGGGGTACACACTTAGAAGTAGAATTGCCAGGTCACAGGGTAATTCCACATTTACCCTTGCGAGGAACTGGGCATACTGCTTTTTAAAAATCCACATAGTACTGCCAGCTACATGGTTTTGGAAGCAATTCTACATCTCATTATACCACTTCTTGGGGGCAGTAAATTTCCAGAGCTTATCCCCCACCCTGTGAAGGGAGAGGCCCAAGTGTGGTGTCTCGCTTAAGAGCATGGGCTTTCGAGACAGAAGACCCCAGCCCCCACCACCTATGCAACGTTGGGCAAGCTTCTCACACTTTCTGGGCCTGTTTCCCCGTGTGTAGGATAGGAATAATTGTGCCTATGCTGTAGGATCGCTGTGAGGACTAAATTAGCTGAGGCGGTCAATAAATGGCCATCGCCACTTTTATTACTGCGTATGAAGAACCGTTCTCAGATTCCATTGCTGTGTTGACGAAACACCGAGTGTGTAAGAGTCTGAGATGGGGAGTATCTGAAGTTCACAAGCTAAACTTGTTTCAGGGCAAAAGCCACAAACTTTGACAGTTACAGAAGATGGTGGGGGGGGCATGTTTCTTGGAATACAAGTTCTTTTTACATCCAAAGAGGCCTCGAGAATTGGGCCGGGGTTACTTACAGGTGAGACAGGGAGGTCACGTCTGTGAAGATGCCCTCTTGGAGGGTGGAGATGTCATTGCCATGCAGGGACCTGAGGACAGAAGAGGCTGTCAGTGCCTCGTCCAGGGACAGAGACTTGAGAACTGACGGAGTGTGTCATGCTTATCCTTGGGTCTTGGTCAAGGTCAATGCTAGAGGGAGCCGGTGCCCCCCTCAGAGACCCCACCCTGCCGGCCACCGGCGGCAAGGGAGAGGGAGCGCCTCGTAATCCGTAATCCGAGGGAGCGCCTCGTAATCCAAGTAGATAACCCTGTGCCGCAGCCCTTCTCGGGGACTTGTTTTTGCCATCACGAATAACTCAAAGCACCATTTCCGTTTACATGACAAATGGAACGCAAGGCCCTGACCCTGTGCCCTCCCTCACTCCGCCAGCAAGTCTGGGTGGGGGGGAGGTAGGGGGGGAAGGTCCTTCCTGGTAAAAAAAAAAAAAAAGTTACTATGGCAAGCCGTAGATTGGGGATAAAGAATGTCACCCTGCCCCAGGCGGAGGATTCATGCAGATACTTGAGAGGCCTTCATAACAGCCGCGACAGAGGACTTTGATCACAGGGCAAAAACTCCCAGTGGGAATTCTTAGGAAAGGTTCACAAATCTCTTGCCAACAATCTCCACTGGAACCGGAAACTCACATGCAAACGAGAGGCTACCTTATCTTGGATGCCCCCACCTCCCATTGCTCCCCCAAAACACAAAGTGGGGCAGACAGCAACCCCCATTTCTCAGAGTTTTCCGTTCACTCTTCAGCCTCCGTGAGGGGCTTGAATGGAAATGGACAGGCCTCCCAGCTTTGGACACTGTTGGCTCTGCTGGGGCCACAGACATGGAGACATTTCTACCCACCAGGTGGGCTGCAGGTCCTCTGTGGGGTGGGTCTCTTTAGAGGAATGAAGAATGAAGAGACTTACAGCAGGCGCAGGGAACGCAGCCCCTGGAAGGCCAGCGGAGGGATGCACTGGAGGGCGTTGTAGCTGAGAATCCTGTGGGATGAGAGGGAGGGTGAGGGAGGGAGCAGGACAGGGGTGGGGGGCGCCATGTTGCTGACCAGGCCCCTGCAGGCGGCTCAGCAGCAAAATGAGGGAGGCCTGAGCGTGGAAGAGGGTGTGGGCCGAGCTCCTGGCCTAGTCAGCCCTGTGACCCGGGCCTGTCCCCTAACCCTTTTATGCCTCTCAGCTCCCTCAGCGGCAGAGCAGGGACAAAAACAATGACAACTTGATAGGGTTTTTCTGCGGGTAAGGGGAGATGGCCCAGGTGAAGCCCTCAGCGCGGTGCCCGGCTCCCAGGGAGGCCTCAGTAAGGAGACTGGGTGCACTTCCTCGTGGAGGCCACTCCAGCAAGGGCCAGAGGCAGGGTCCCCGTGAAGTGGACACCGGACCAGGACCTGCCTCACTTCCAGAGTGGACCGGTGAGGTCCAGGCCCAGCTAGTAATCTAACATTGGGAAGCTGTGGTGGTGACGAGGGCACCATGACTACCCCCGTCGTAAAGATGGGGAAACTGAGGCCCTGCAAGGTGAAAGAACTTCGTCAGGGTGGCGTAATTAAGTCAGTAAGCGGGGTTTTTAATTCAGCTTCTCAGTTTCCAGAGTCCACAGGCTAACCCACTCTCCCCAAATGCTTCCAAATAAATGAATCCACCAAGGGCAGATGGGCAGGTTGACAACAAGGGAGGCGATACTCGTGATAGCTCCAGATGTCCGTCAGCGGAGGGACAGGGACACTCCGGTGCAGCCATACAGTGGGACATCACTAGTCGCTGACAAGAAGGAAGGAACTACCCATACGTGCGGTGACATGGGGGAATTTCGGAGTAACTGTGTGGGTTGAAAGATGCCGAACAAAAAGGAGTATCGTTGCACGATCCCAAACATGCAAAACCCTAGGCGATGCGGACTCACCCACAGAGCCGAATGGTGGCGGCCCTGGGACGGGGGTGTTGGGAGGGGCCGGGCAGAAGGGGTGTGAGGAGGCTTCTGGGGGTGACGGAAGGGGTCTCTGTGTTCATCGTGGTGATGGTTCCAAGGACGTGAACGTAAGTCAGGATGTATCCTTATTTGCCGCAAGCATGTACAGTTTCTTTTATGCTGACTGTACCTCACTAGGGCTATTTTCAAATAATAATGAGAGCAGGGGTGTGCTCCTGTCACAGGAATGGGTTCTGTTTCCCCCGGCAGCTGCCGGAACCACTGAGACCGGGACTTCTCAGCCCAGCATTACCAACAATTCTTTGTTGGGGGGCTGCCCTGGGCATTTTACAGTGTGTAGGGGTAAAATCCTGGCCTCTGCCCACAAGGTGCTGGGGGCTTCGCCTGCCCCTGCTCTAGCTTTGACCACCGAAAATGCTTCAGACATTGCCAAACGGCCCCTGGTGGGCAGGACCTCCCTAGCTGATGGCAGCTTCACATCCAGGCTCACAAAGACTTTGAAATGGGAACCAGTTGATGAGAAGACTCTGGAGCAAGTAAGTGCAGGTGGGTAACCTAGAACCAGAATTTCATGGCCTCGGGCCCACCTTCTGCTCCTGGGGGTCTGGCTGGGTCACGACCCCATCCTTTTTTGGGGGTACTGGCTCTAATGTTGGACCACGGTGGAGCCCAAGGGAAAGTTCTTAGGTTCTTGGCACATTATCTGTAAAATGAGGTGTGGAGAAGGGGAGTGAGATACCCCCGTAAGTTGCAGGCCAGTATACGGGCTGCTTGTTATTCTTTCCAACTGATTGCTTGGCATGTAATTAAAGCGATCGTTAAAACAACTCAGAATATGGGCACAAAAGTGTTCGGAAGCACCGTTCACAATAGTCCGAACTGGAAACAACCCCACTATCCATCCATAGTGAGATGGGTAAGGAAGGTATGACATATTCCTACAAAGGAATACTACACAGCAGTAAAAATGACCAGACCGCGGCTTCACATGAGTGGACCTCGCAAACATAATGCTACATAAAATAAGCCAGGTTCAAAAAAAAAAAAAAACACATCCTGTATGATTCAATTTACACAAAAATAAAATCGATTTGTGTAGAAGTGCATATGTAGATGGCAGTGCTATAAAGAAAATCAAAGACATGATCACCATAAAAGTCAGGGGAGGGACTTCCTGGAGACGGTGGGGAGGGGGGAACAAATGATCAAGAAGGGGCTGGGGGAAGGACTTTTGGGCGTGCTGTGTTCCGTTTTGTGCCTTAGGTATTTACACATGTGCTAGCTTTATGGTTATTTGTTAAATTGTACTTCATATTTTTTTGCATTTTTCTGTATGTATGCTATATTTCACAATAAAAAAATTTGGTTTTGTTTTTTTTTTTCTTTTTGGCTGGCGAGGCCAGGCACACTCCCTGGTAGATGAAGAGTGACCAGTGGGGCTTGGAGAAAGTCTCGGTGACACAGCGC